ATATAATAAATAAAAATGACCGAGTGATAAAATCATTATTTTATATTTATAAGAATATTGTTACTGTAACTTTTGCAAAATTATTTTTGTCATTTCAATTCAATTACTATTTTCTAGAATTTTTAACTAAAATTCTTCTCTAAGTTAATTATTTTTAATAAATTTCGAAAAAGTTCTTTGAAAATTTTCAAATTCACAATTCAGCTTTACGAAATTTCGATTATTCGGAAATTCTTTAATTAAATGTATGATTAGAAAATAGAAAATTCAAATAATTTCAAAATAATCTTTTTGAAATATTTAATTCTACAGAATTGCCAGTTAAAAGTATGATAAATTCAAATTTACAAAGAATTTAATTTGAAATCTTTTAAAAATTCAATTATTTCTAAAAATTCACGCTATAATGAGCTTTTAATATTTAATTATAAAATTTTAACTTAAATTCATTTTTAAATCAATTTATTTTATTAGAAAATTCTACGATTCAATTCTCATAAACAATTTTATAAACAAATTTTTAAATAATTGAATTCTTTTGACGAATTTTAATAAAACTTTTAAGAAAAATTACATTTTTCGAGGAATTCTATTGAGCTTGTATTAAAAATAATTGAAATTCTGCGATGAGTTATTTATTATTTGTGAAAATAATTGAATTGCTAAGAAAAATTTTATTATTTTTAAACAATATTTAATTATTAATCTTGAATTTTAATTATTTTATTTATTAATCTTGAAGATAATTAAATTTCTACAATAATTTGTAACTTTTCCAAAATTAAATTTTTTTTCGTGTTTTTAATTAAAATTCTTCGATAAATGCATTACTTTTAATAATTTTTGAAAAAGTTCTTTGAGCATTTTGAAATTCATTTGTTTACAATTCAATTTGACAAAATTTCAATTATTCGTAAATTATTGAATTAAATATATTATTAGAAAATAACAACTTCAAAAATTTTTTTTTAGAAAATCCGCAAATAAACTTTCTGAAAAAAATTAATTCCACAGAATTTTTATAGTTAAAAATACAAAAAATTCAGACTTTCAAAGATTTTAATTTGAAATGTTTTCAAAATTCAATTACTTCTAAAAATTCACTCTCTAATGCTTTTAATATTCAATTATAATCTAAAATTTTAACTGTAATCCATTCTTAAATCAATTTTTATTAAAAAATTCTACTGGAATTCAATTTATTTAAATACAAACAAAAACAGTTTATTGAATAATTGCATGTTTCTTAAAATTCAATTCACATAAAGAATTTTATCAATAAATTTTTAAGAATAATTACATTTTTCGTGGAATTCAATTAAAATTGTATTAAAAATAATTGATATTCTGCAATGAGTTTTATTATTTATAAAACTATAATTGAATCCCTGCAAAAATGTTTATTATTTATGAAAAAAATTGAATTCCTGTAAAAAATGCTATTGTTTATGAAAATAATTACATAAGTGTTTGTGTAGAATTTTATCAAATTTTTTTTTTTAATAATTGTATTCTTATGGAAAATTTTATTAAAATAGTAGATATTAAAAATCAATGAATTGAGGAGAGATTTTGAAAACAACTTAAATTTTGCCAAGAATTTAATTAAAATTTTTGTAAATAATTGAATTTCAGAGAAGAATTTTAATATTTACAAAAATAATTGGAATTTTAACGAGTATTTAAAAAAAAAAATTTCAACATATAATTGAATTTTTGAGAAGAATTTTATAATACTTTTGAAAATAATTGAACTTCTGCAATCATTTATAACTTCTCAAAAATTCAATTTTTTTGGTGCTTTTAACTAAAATTCTTCTATATGTTTATTATTTTTAATATATTATTATCTAAAATTTTAACTAAAATTCATTTTTAAATTTTTATTTAAATTTATGTAAATATTTAATAAATCAATTTATTCTTATTAGAAAATTGTACGTGAATTCAATTATTTAAATATATATCTACAAAAATAAATAATTTATTGAATTCAATTAAAATTGTATTAAAATCAATTGAAATTCTCCGATGAGTTTTATTATTCATGAAAATAATAATTAAATTCCTAAAAAAAAATTTTATTATTTATGATAATAATTGAATTATTAGGAAGAAATTTATAAAAAAAAAAGTTAAAATATTATTGCTACATTTCATGTAAAGAATTTATTTCAATTTAGTTATGAATAATTAATAACAGTGATAAAAATAATTATAGTAATAATAATAATAATAATAATAATAATTATTATTATTATTATTATTATTATTATTAACAACCTTTTTTATTTTTGTATTATTATTACTACCAGGAAAAATACATGTCTTATACAATTTTTTTATGTTTATCAATTTTTGGGACTTTAACAAAATTTTTTGTCATCCACAACATTTTTGTCATTCGAAACAATCATTGTCATCCACAACATTTTCATCTTGCATAACTTTTTTGTCGTCCACAATTTTTTTGTCTTGCAAAACATTATTTTTGTCTTCCACATCATTTCCGTTTCTCAAAACATTTTTGTCGTGCACAATTTTATTGTCTTGTGAAACATTATTTTTGTCGTCCACAATTTTTGTGTCTTCCACAACTTCTTTCTTACGCCTACAGCCACCTTCACAATTACATCCAAATATATTACAGGGGCCTACACCACAATAAAAACCTTCACGAAGAGAACCATCATCACATAAGTTATCACATTTATTTCCCAAATACAGTCTGACTTTTCCATTTTTGCATAATCTTTTAAACTTGGAAGGATGAGTTACAAAACAACATTCAGCACGACAGTTATTAATAAATGCCAAAAATGTGACAACAAATAACAGGAAATAAATTTTTAACATTTTGATAGAATTTTACTCCTATATTTGTCGTCCTATTAGATTGCAGTTTTTTGAAATTAGAAATTTAACACTTGGTTACTTTTAAATTTCCCCAACGTTCGAAACTTATTTACCCCAAGAGTGCAGAAAAAAACAATAAAAATTCTTGTCTTAACATAAAATTTTTTATGATTATAACTATGATTCATGTACGCATCCACTAGTTGAAGAAAGATTTAAATTTATTGTGTTTACGTGGCTTCAAAAAATTGATATCATATATTTTAACGAGGACATAAAATTTATTTTCCTAAAGTTTCAAAAGACGATATTTTTGCTACTGCTTTTCATTTGTATTTTATTTAAAAAAAAAAAATTATTTTGTAGAATAATAAAAATTAATTATTAACTAAATATATTAACAAACTAATTATTTTTTGTAAATATAAATATACAAAAAAAATTGTTTTATATAGAATTTTTTCTAATGGAAATTATAAGAAAGAAAAACATATATGCAAATAATAATTTAGCTTCAGTCGATGAACAAAGTAAAATTTGCAATCTCGAATGAAGGTAATTAACATTAAAATCAAAATCTCACAGAGTATGTGCTGCCCTTAAACGGGAGAAATGAGAATATTTAGCATTCTTCCTCGTCAAAACTCTGTCGGTAGAAAATCGATGAAACGTTACCTCGAGAGCCAGTAAAAATTACCTATAGCTTCAAACCAAGAGGGAGCAATCAATTTAAGTTCGTAGCTTCAGAATTTTTCAAAAAATCCACTTCTTCAATATTTTATTTACATTAATATTAATTTTGAATTAATTGTTTAATATTAAATAATTATAAATTTATTACAATTACGTTCATTAATAACTAACATCATTGTTTATATTTATATTCAGATTTATGTCAAAAGTAGTTTGTTATTATTATTATTGTTAATTTTAAATAATAAACTAGCAACAATTCGCGCAGCTAACTTCTTCCTGCCTTTTTTTTTAAAATAAAATTAGCAATTTTAAAAATAATAGAATTTAGAAATTTCACTGAAAATTAAATTATTTTTAAACATTTTTTAAAAAATTTATCGAAAGAATTCAATAATATTTGTCATTACAATTTTGAATTCATTATAAAATAAAAATAATTATTATTATTAGCTATAAAAATATTATTATTATTATTAACTATAACAATTGTCTTATTCATTCTTTCATTCTGTCCACACCTGAAGTTATAGTCATGATTATTCTTTTGTTTTTTAAACGTTTCGATAGAAAATAGAAATAAAATATAAAATCATCACGATTTTTTAACAAAATTCATGCTTTTGTTTTTTTATTATATCATTAATTTAATAATATTATTTTTATTTCTCAAATAATTCAAAAATATTTGTAATAATCTAAAAAAATTATTAATGTTATTATATTATTCATTATTTCCTTTGTTTCTAAAAAATTAGCCATTTGTAACAAACATTTTAGATAATAATTAACAAATGTAAATCCTGCACAAAATATTTTCTTTTTTTTTTAATATGAAAAACTTAATTACTTGACAAAATTTTGACATCTTCTCTGACCCTAAAGAATATTCTGATTCACTCTAAAAATGATTAAACACTCCAAAAAAAAATTATTCAGAAATTCTTCAATTAAATACGAATTAAAAAATAAACACTTATTAAATAATTAATAATTAAATTATTAAAAAAAAATCAATTTTAAATCTGTAAAGTCTAATTATTGTTAAAAACAGGAAAAGTTTGAAATAAATAAAATCTTTTTAATCGTGAAGAATAACATTCAGAATTTTCTTATGAATTCTTGAAATTGAATATATTATTCGAGCACTTTTGACAAAATTCACTTGACTTTATTCTGATTTCCCTAAATAAATTATTATTATTATTATTATTAATTTCTATCATTATTGTTCGTTTTCCTATATATTTTTGCTACTGCTTTTAATTTGTATTTTATTTTAAAAAAAATTATTTTTTATATAACAAAAAAAATTAATTATTAACTAAATATATTAAGAAACATAATTATTAGTTAAAGGCAGTAAGAGATGTAAAACAAAATTTTTAGCATCAATAATTAAATTCTATTCTATATTTTCTTGGTAAAATTTAATTTATTGAACTTTTATTGTACAATTTTTTTGACTTTCACCATCAGCACCATCAGCACATCGTTTTTTACATAGGTTTCCCAAAAACACTATATGACGACGTTAATAAAACAATTTTTATTCTTTATTTAAATATTTATTAGGAACTAGAAAAAGGTCGTAACTACAATCTGTTGAATTAAGGTACAATATGCTGACAGATTGTGAATGAACATGATTTTAATATTCAAGAAATCTATTTCTTATCGATTGAAAGTTAATTAAACACAAGTTTTAAATTAATCATTGATAAAGTTGCAAAGTTTTGAAAAAATTATTTTTTATGATAAAAAAATTAATTTTTAACTAAATATATTATCAGACAGATTAGTGCAAAGATAACTACCACAACAAATTCACTCACATCCCTAATATTTTTGTCATGCAAAACATTTTTGTCGTCTACAATTTTTTGGTCTTCAACACTATTTTTGTCTTCCAAAATTTTTTGGTCTTCCACAATTTTTTTGTCGTCCACAACTTCTTTCTTACGCCTACAGCCACCATCACAATTACATCCAAATATATTACAGGATCCTACACCGCAATAACGCTGACCCTCACGCAGAGGACCATCAGCACATAAGTTTTTACATTGGTTTCCCCAAATCACTATAAATTCTAGATCTCTGCATTCTTTACTATTATTGATAGAAATTGTCGGACAACATTCAGCACAACAGTCATTAGTAAATGACAAAAATGTAACAACAAACAACAGTAGGAAATAAATTTTTAACATTTTGTTAGTATTTTACGTCTACTTGTTGTCGTATTAAATTGCGCAGTCATTGAAATTAAAATTTCTTCCACCATTCGTATAACTCATATACCCCAAGAGTACATAGAAAAAAAAAATTGTTTTTTTTTCACATAAAATTTTTTATTATTATAACCATAATTCATGCACGCATGCACTAGAGAAAAAAGATTTAAATTTATTGTGTTTACGTGGCTTCAAAAAATTGATATCATAATATATACTTTTACAAGGACATATTTATTTTCCTAAAGTTTCAAACGACGGTATTTTTGCTACTGCTTTTAATTTGTATTTTATTTTTTTAAAAATTATTTCTAAATAAAATTTACAATTAAATAAAGTTATCATTATTTAAATCATTTTCCAATTTGGAGCAGTAATCTTTAAAAATATTTAAACGCAGAGAAAAAGTTTCGTATTTATTTGAAGGTTAAAAAAACTATTTTGTATAATAAAAATTAATCATTAACTAAAATATATTAACAGTATGAAGAAAAATGCTAGAAAGGAAAAGGATTTATTTACGTAAATTATACGATTTCAAGATCGAACTATTTAAATATCAATGATATCAATTAAATATATTTTCTTGGTTCCATTTAATTTACTGAACTTTATTTTATTGTACAATTTTTTAGATGTTCCTGGATGATCTGTAGAAATCCAAATAACGACAGGATAAAAATATTTTTGAAGTTAAATAATGTTCCTTACGGTAAATAATTCTTTTTATTCTCAATAGAATATTGTGAGTATCCAAATTTTTCATATGATGACGTTAATAAAACTATTTTTATTCTTTATTTAAATATTTATTAGGAACTAGAAAAAGGTCGTATAACTATATACCAATCCGTTGAATTAAAGTACAATATGCTGACAGATTGTGAATGAACATGATTTTAATACCCAAGAATTTAAATATATTTCTTATCAATTAAAGGTTAATTAAACACAAGTGTTAAATTAATTATTGATAATGTTGCAAAGTAAATTACATTATAAATTTTTAAAAAGTGTTGCAATATTATAATTTAATGAGTACATAAAATATATGTTTTCCTACAATTTCGAACGATGATATTTTTGCTACTGCTTTTAATTAGGGTTTTAATTTTTTTTTTAAATTATTTTGTATTGATAAGAAAAATTAATTTTTAACTAAATATATTAACAGGCAGATCATTATTAGTACAAAGAAAAATGCTAAAACAAATCTTTTCACATCCACAATATTTTTGTCATGCGAAACATTTTTGTCATCCCCAATTTGATTGTATTGCAAAACATTTTTGTCGTCTACAATTTTTTGGCCTTCAACACTATTTTTGTCTTCTAGAATTTTTTTTTGGTCTTCCACATATTTTTGGTCTTTCACAGTTTTGTTGACGTCCACAACTTGATTGTCTTGCAAATCATTTTTGTCGTGTACAATTGTTTGGTCTTCAACACTATTTTTGTCTTCTTGAATTGTTTGGTTTTCCACAATTTTGTTCTCGTTCACAATTTGATTGTTTTGCAAAACATTTTTGTCGTGTACAATTGTTTGGTCTTCAACACTATTTTTGTCTTCTTGAATTGTTTGGTTTTCCACAATTTTGTTCTCGTTCACAATTTGATTGTTTTGCAAAACATTTTTGTCGTCTACAATTTTTTGGCCTTCAACACTATTTTTGTCTTCTAGAATTTTTTTTTGGTCTTCCACATATTTTTGGTCTTTCACAGTTTTGTTGACGTCCACAACTTGATTGTCTTGCAAATCATTTTTGTCGTGTACAATTGTTTGGTCTTCAACACTATTTTTGTCTTCTTGAATTGTTTGGTTTTCCACAATTTTGTTCTCGTTCACAATTTGATTGTCTTGCAAATCATTTTTGTCGTGTACAATTGTTTGGTCTTCAACACTATTTTTGTCTTCTTGAATTGTTTGCTCTTTCACAATTTTGTTCTCGTCCACAATTAGATTGGTTTGCAAAACATTTTTGTCGTCTACAATTTTTTTGCCTTCAACACTATTTTTGTTTTTTATAATTTCTTGGTCTTCGACAACTTTTTTCTTACGTCTACAGCCACCATCACAATTACATCCAAATATATTACAGGATCCTACACCACAATAACGATAACCCTCACGCAGAAAACCATCAGCACATGATGCTTTACATAGGTTTCCCCAAAACGCTCTATAATTTTTATCTCTGCATTTTTTGTTTTTTTTTGCAGAAATTGTCGGACAACATTCAGCACGACAATCATTAGTAAATGACAAAAATGTAACAACAAACAACAAGAAATAAATTTTTAACATTTTATTAGTATTTTATGTCTACTTGTTGTATTAAATTGCGCAGTTATTGAAATTAGAAATTCTTCCACCGTCGTAACTTATATACCCCAAGAGTGCATAGAAAAACAATAAAAATTGTTTTTTCACATAAAATTTTTTATTATTATAACTATAATTCATGCATGCATGCACTAGAGAAATAGGGTTTAAATTCATTGTGCTTACGTGGCTTCAAAAAATTGATAACAATGATAAAAATAATGATAATAACAATAATAATAATGTATTTTATTTTTAATTTTTTGGACTTTAACAAATTATTTGTCATCCACAACATTTTTGTCATTCGAAACAATCATTGTCATCTATCACTTTTTTGTCTTGCATAAAATTTTTGTCGTCTATAATTTTCTTGTCTTGCAAAACATTATTTTTGTCTTATTTCCGTTTCTCAAAACATTTTTTTCGTGCACAATTTTATTGTCTTGCAAAACATTATTTTTTACTTCAACAATTTTTCGTTTTGCAAAACATTTTTGTCGTGCACAAATTTTTTGTCTTGAAAACCATTTTTGTCGTTCACAATTTTTTTTAACGAGGATATAAAATTTATTTTCCTAAAGTTTCTAATGACGATATTTTTTCTTCTGCTTTGTATTTTATTTTTATTTTGTATATTTTTTTGTATTTTATTTAAAAAAAAAATTATTTTGTATATTAATATAAATTAACAATTAACTAAAATATATTAACAGTACGAAGAAAAATGATTTATTTACGTAAATATACGATTTCAAAATCGTATAATTTAAATATCAATTAAATATATATTTGGTTACATTTAATTTATTGAACATTTATTGTACAATTTTTTTGTCTTACACAATTTATTTCTTATGTCTACAGCTACCATAATTCTCATAATGAATGTTTTCAACAAATTTTGAAATAATGGAATTCTTTGGACTAATTTTAATAACATTTTTAAGAATAATCACACTTTTCGAGGAATTCGATTGAAATTGTTTTAAAAATAATTGCAATTTCTACTATTATTTTTGAAAATAATTAGGTAAATATTTGAGTAGAATTTTATCAAAATTTTTTTTTAATAATTTAATTTTTTTGGAAAATATTATTAAAAGATATTGAAAATCATTGAATTGAGGAAAATTTTTGAAAATAATTGAAATTTTGCCAAGAATTTGATCAAAATGTTTAAAAATAATTGAATTCTTAAAACGAATTTAATTTTTTACAAAAATAATTGAATCCCTATAAAAAATTTTATTATTTATAAAAATAATTGAATTTTTGCGAAGACATTTATAAAGAAAAATTATTAATTGAATTCCTGTGAAAATTAAATTATTTATGGAAATAATTGAATTCTTGCAACGAATTTTATTAAAATTTTTTAAAATAATTGAAATCCTGTGAAAATTAAATTATGTATGAAAATAATTGAATTCTTGCAACGAATTTTATTAAAATTTTTCAAAATAATTGAATTCCTGTAAAAACTAAATTATTTATGATAATGATTAAATTTTTAAGTAGAATTTTAATAAAATTTTTTCGAATAATCAATAAAAATTATTAAATATTGAGGAAAATTTTTGACAAGAATTGTTTAAAATAATTCAATGTATACGAAGAATTTTATTAAAATTTTTTAAAATAACTGAATTCTTCTAAGGAATTTTATTAAAATTATCGAAAATCGTTCAATTCTTACGAAGAACCGTATTCAATTTTTTTTTAAATAATTGAACTCTTGTGAAGAATTTAAAAAAAATGTTTTAAATACAATTTAAAATTCTATTAAAAATAATTGAAATCTTGCTATAAGTTTTATTATTTATGAAGATATTTGAATTTTTGCTACGAATTTTATTAAAAATTTTAAAATAATTGAATTCTTGCAAATTTTTGAAATTTTTTGTTGATTTGTAAAATTATTTAATTTTTAATAATAATAAAATTATTTAATTTTTAATAATAATAAAATTATTTAATTTTATTTATTTTCGAAAAATATTTAAGCTGAAAAAAATTCCATTCCTTTATTTAAATAATTTTTTTTTTCAATTAATTAGTCAACAGAAAACGTAACAAAATTATGCTTTTCTTTTGAGAAGCTTGTTAGACTCTAAAAACTGAAAAAGATGAAATTTTTTTCAGGGAAAAAAAATAACTTGCGTATAGAAGTGACGAGACTAACAGATTTGACGCGATTTAATTCAAAACGAAATTGCCCTCTGCTTTTATATGTAAATAAGTAAATTGAAGCAGAACAAGCACGTCCTCGTATAAAGTTCCTTTCTTCGTCATTTCGCCCGTACAATTTCATCGCCGCTACATACGCGTGCAACAAAAAAAAAAAAAAAAAAAAAAAATTGATCCACCAATTTTGCAGGCAGATCCAAGTAAATATTATCGGTACATTGTAAATTACTTTCTTCTTTTTTATCGTAGATATTTTCTTTCTATGTCTACTTTTTATTTAACAAAATCTCATTAATTTTTTTTTCTACCCTTTCCTAAAAAAAAATTATTACAAATTTATTAATGAAAATGAATCTATATAAGTGTTTGGATTCATTTTGTCAAAAGTTTATACTTTGCGGTGATTTTTATTAGTGAAATTGAAATTTAAGTTATAGTAGAATCAACGGTTATTAAAAGAAGAAATATTTTTCCAGATTATTAATTTTTTAAACAAATATTTTTTCGCTCGCAAATTTTTTTCTAGAAAAACTATATGTTGTTACCAATTTCTCTTTATCAATAATTTAAAACGCCTCGCGTGACCTTTACCAAAGTCGAACGATGTAAAATTTATTATTTCAGGTGCGGAATACATAAAAAAAAAGTACGCAATATAAAAACAATTATATTATTATTTCAAGTTTACGAATCGTATTTTTTCATTTTTTATTCAATATACGAATTTTCTTACTTGATAACAGAACAACGAATTATAGGAAAAATAAGTTTATAACATTGAGTAAAATTATTGAAAAATTATTGATTTATGAACTAAAGTTCTACTAGAATAAAATCGGAAAAAATATTATTAAAAAATATTATTATAAATTTTTTTTTTTGAAATTTTATACAAATTTATATAATAATTAACGAAAAAGTAGTAAATTTTATTTTAGTAGATAAATTTTAGTTTAAGGATTTAGTATAGCTAAGTGCGAAGCCTACGTCAGGCCGATAGAAAGAGTTAGCTAGTACACTTAACGTCCCCTTCTTTTCTCTCTTTCTAGTGACGCGTGCGCAGAGTTGACATGGAGCGTCGCCAGGAGCAACTGCGCTTGCGTCACTTTCAGCGCGCATGCGTTGAGAGACAAAGAGCCAAAGAGGGGGGGGGGACGTTAAGTACACTATCTGTCTCTTTCTATCGATCTGATACTCTCTATTCTACTTCTATATTCTAATTGAAAATAATACATTAAAAAATTATAATAACTTGAAAATAATATATTAGTATAACACAAAAATGAAAAGTAACTCTAAATGATTTTTTAAATAATAATTTCGAAATTATCAAGCAGGGGTGGGGGTAAAAGTAACATTTTCAAATTCTACTGTATATTATATATTAACGGGGAGAAATTTGATTTGTCTATAATACGGTTGACGAGGCCCAATTTTGACGCAATTCGAAGATTCCAGTAAACGATTACATTGTTTTGGTACCAAAGAGGTTTAGTGTAATTGAATCGGGTTCTCCTCTCTATCATCTATTGTATAGCGGGAAAATGTCTATGCATGCACCGCGGATAGGGAAGCGATGCATATTCAAAATTGAGCCGCGGGCGGCCTGGTCAGTCTCTCTCTCTCTCTCTCTCTCTCTCTCTCTCTTGTTTTCAAAGCTCTCGCGAACACACGCGAGACGGTAAATTCGGTTACTTCATTTGAAACCCTCTCCCAACTCATTTTTTGGTCCACCCCTTTCCCTCTCATGGTTTGTACTTGTCTTTCTCATTTTCATCCACCCACATGAAACCCTCTTTTTCTCCCCCCCCCCCTCTCTCTCTCTCTCTTTCTCTCTCAAACTCCGCGCACTTCGCGTTTTAACCCCCTTCGGTGTATGTCCGAGGTTATGAATTTTAATAGCTTTACGCCGCCACGTTGCCAAGAGGGAAAGGCCGACAGGCAAAAATGGCGTAGACGAGTTTTTCGCTCGACAAATTGTCGATGGATTGGATTAGAGGGAAAAATTCCGTTGCTGCTTGATGCTTGGGAATTTTTTCAATCGGTTGTGTCGCTTTAGCGCGAATAACATTGGCAAAATAAAACAAAAAAAAAAAAAAAAAGAAATCACCACTCCGCATATTCTCTGTAAAAAAAAAATAGTAAAAATCTAATCATTTTGCATCGCAAATATAAATTGAGATATAGTAAATAGTAGACATTAGCATATGCGTAAACAGAATACAAAAAAAAAAAATAATAAAACAATTGTTTCAAAAAAGAAAACACTCGCGGCACGTTTTCCCTCTTAACCGAAATAAACCCGCGTCAACTAAAAATATGTCATTTTTATGCAAATCGCTTTTACAGTTTTTATGGTTTTCGCTATATATTTATACATGGCTTTTTAAATGCATTATACGCAGTAAAACCGGAGAGAAAAATATTTCTTTCATTAACCGTGTGACTAATTAGAAACAATATTCGTGTGACAAAGGAGAATTTTCATTCGAAAAAAGAAGAAAAATTTAATATAAAATTATAAATTTACATAGTTAAAAAAATATATACTTATAAAAACTGTAAAACTTTAATAAAAATGACTAAATAATCGTCCTATTCATTTCTGCCCACATTTGCAATACCTGCATAATTAATCCCTTCCGCGTAGGTTATTATTTTTTTTTTTTAATGTTTTTTTGATAATTGGAATTTACAATTTTTGTTCGCAATTTTTAAATAGTTACAAATTCAAAAACTTGAAACATAAATTATTTCCAAAAATTATACAGTTTCAAATTCTTTAAATTTCAATTATTATTAAAAATTGAAGTTCCAAATCTTCGGAAATTCAATTATTTTTAAAAAATTA